ACAGAGATGTCTACATTTCTAAGATAGAGAAGTTACCAATTGGGCTCCACGGTAACAGCTGGCAGGGGAGGAAAGAAGGGGGAGAAGAAGCTTTCCCCTTCTCAGGTGTTGTCCTTGAAGAGTTAACTTGCCCAGAACAGTGAAAGAAAAAGCTGCTTTTATGTGAACTTCTGAGCCCCTTCCCTTACATGTTGGGTATAAAATTCTGAAACTATCTGAACTCGGGGTTCGGGGGATTAATTGATTACAGCAAAAGCTGTTCCCTCTGAACCTGGCTGCAGCCAAATAAAATTGTTTCCTGCTATCTTCGGTGCCTTGCCTCCTCTGTCCCTTCAACAATGGCTATTATGGTTTGGATCTTAAATGTCCCCAAAAAGTTCATGTGTTAAAGACTTGGTCCCCAATGCAGCAGTGTTCAGAGGTGGGCCTTTGGACGTGATTGAATCATGAGGGCTTTGACCATTGGTGGATTAACAGTTTAATCTGTTGGTGGGGAGGGCTTTGTTATAAAATCAAGCTCTTTCTTTGCTTCCTGGTTGTCATGAGCTGAGTAGCTTTCCCTCATCACGTGCTTCTGCCTCACCACAGGCCTAAAAGCAACTGGTTCAAGTAAACATAGACTGAAGCTGTGAGCCAAAATAAATATTTCCTCCTTTAAGTTGATTTCTCCCAAGTATTTTGTCACAGTGACACAAAACTGAGTAACACAATGCCCAAGTAAAGGGGGTCTGAAGGGGATTTTTTGTTTTCTTTTGTGGAACTGGGGATTGAACCTAGGTCCTGCATGTGCTAGGCAAGTGCTTTGCCACTAAGATACAACCCCATCCCTTTTTAAAAAATAATTTTGAGAGAGGGTCTCAATAAGTTGCCCAGGCTGGACTCGAACTCATGTGATCCTCCTACCTTAACCTCACAAGTAGCTGAGATTACAGGTTTGTGCCACCACACCTGGCCTGAGGGGGATATTTTGCTCCTTCATAATGGGAAAACACAAGAATGCCCTATCTTTAAAGCAGAGAGAGAGGCTTCACCAGATTCCAAATCTCCTGGCACCTTGATCTTGCACTTTCCAGTCTCCAGAACTTGAGAGAAAAAAACTGTATTGTGTGGGGCTGGGGCTGTGGCTCAGTGGTAGAGCACTTGTCTAGCATGTGCAAGGCACTGGGTTCAATCCTCAGCACCACATATAAATAAGTAAATAAAATAAAGACCCATGAACAACTAATAAAAATATTTTTAATTGTGTATAAATTAGTCAATCTACAGTATTTTGCTAGAGCAGACTGAACAGAGTAAGACACCTTGGCAAGTAAGATATCTTTCACTTAAAAATATCCTCTTGACTCTATTTTTCTTATGTCTTTTTTTTCTCATTTTCAGAAAAATATTCTAAAAAAAAAAATTGTCTACATTCACAGTCTATGCTCACTCTCACCCTGTCACTCTTGAACCTGTTACAATTAATTTCATCCACCAAAACTGGTGGTGTAAGGTTTCAAAGACCCTCAAACCTAACAACTAATCCCACTGATATAACCTCTCGTGGGTTTTTGCATGGACTTACACCTTCCTATTACCTCCTTTGCCTATCTCCATAACACCCCTGTTTCTCTTCTCCTGCTGCTCCTCCTCATCTCCCTTTTCCTGTTCTACCTTATACCCCAACTTTGATGTATTGCTGTGCCAATGACTTAAGCCCTAGGCTCTCTCTCTCTAGATGCGCCCACCTATTCTCTAATCCTGACTCTCTCAGTATTACAAACACTGTGTGCATGTTTTCAGTTCAAGCTCAAATGGTGTAGGCTTGACATGACTGCAGCCTTGGTCATAACTGCCATTTTGCCTGCCCCAGTGACACTGACACACATTTCAAACCCTATAGGAAAAAACTACCAAGTTGTTAAGGTAGTTAACCCAGCATTTTGTGCTGGCCACTGAATGCCTAGATTTTCTCTTATCTGACACTTGACATATTAATAGATCTTTGGAAAGCCCAGGAACATTCTGGCTGGCCGTGGCCCACCCTTGTCTAGCTAAACATATAAACCCCTTTCTCCTACCTTGAATGCAGGGATTCTCCTGTCTTCCTGCCATCTAATATTTCTGTCTACAAGTCCCCATAAGTTGCACTTTGTGCCGTCCTGGATTTGTCCACCTCATTTTTCCATCTCATAACTTTCTGCGTTCAGCAGCCAGTTCTCAAAAACCAGATTTTTCCAAAACACATGTCCAGCCTGCCTGGTCATTGCTGGTTGGAGCCAGAATTTCAGCCTCCATCAAGTCATGATCCCTGTCCTTGAATTCTGAGAGACATTCGTGGGTTGTTTCTTTCTTTCTTTCTTTTTGGTAATGGGGATTGAACCCAGAGGTCTTAACTCTGGGCTACATCCCCAAGCCTTTTTATTTTTTATTTTGAGACACAGTCTCACAAAGTTGCTTAGGTCTCCCTAAATTACTGAGGCTGGCCTCCAACTTGTGATCTTCCTGCCTCAGCCTCCTGAATTGCTGGAATTACAGGAGTGCGCCACCATGCCCAGGTCTGAGACACAGTTGTAACTTCACATTCTCATGTTCCCAGTTTCTGATCTTCTCTCCCCAAATCTGTTCCTCCTACAGTTGCTTCCTTCAAAGCCACTCCATCATTCTGGTTCCTCTGACTAAAAATCATGGGACTGACCTTGATAGCCCCAATTCTTTCAAACAACTCCCTCTGGCTTTACTGTGCAGATATGGCTTGGATCCAAGTGCTGTATATCATACACCCTCACAACTACCACTCTGATCTAAGTTTCCCCCATCTTTCAATCGACCCCTCTCCCTGACCTTCCTCAAGAGGTCAGCAGGGTGCCTTCTGCCACCCTGCCATCTGTGCATCAAAAGTACTGGGTGCCAGGCACAGTGGCACACACCTAAAATCCTAGCACTTGGGAGGCTTCGGCAGGAGGATTGCAAGTTCCAAGACAGCCTCCGCAAAAGCGAGGCACTAAGCAACTCAGTGAGATCCTGTCTCTAAATAAAATTACAAAATAGGGCTGGGATGTGGCTTAGTGGTCAAGTGCCCCTGAGTTCAATCCTTGGAACCACCCCCACAAAAAAAAAAAAAATACTGGAGTGACCCTGTTGGAAGGTGAGCAGGAACCTGCCTCACTAGGAATGTACACCATGCCCACAAAATGGCCCTCTGGCCCCATCTCTCTTTGACTTCACCCCCTGATTGTCCATGGCTCTTTGTGCCTTCCATATGGCCTCCCTGCTGTTCCTCAAATGTCATATTCCCACCCAAGGACTCTTGTGTCCTCCCTATCTGGAATACTTTTTCCCCAAGTGCCCCCAAGACTAGTCCCCACAGTTGCTTTAGACACAGGTGTCATCTCCCAGGGAGGCCATCTCTGGTCCCCCTATTGAACAAGGACCCAGCACCCCTCTCCCACTTCTCCCTTCATTTGTCTTCTAGTCTTTTTTCAAAAAATGTGTGTATGTACGTTTACCTTTTTATTTGTCCTGTCCCCCACATGCCCTAGAATAAAAAGGTCATTGAGACAGGATTTCTTTTTAGCTCACTGTTATCTTCCCACCACTTAGAACAGTACCTGGCACATAGTAGGTGTTCAATAAAAGAATTTGCCCTGATTCTCTCCAGTGTGATGTTCTTCTTTGAACATTATTTTTTGCATGTCATTATCCAGAGTTGTCTATATTTGTGCAGTATCAGGATTTGGAATGGGTTTTCTCAGATATCCCTTTATGTGCATATTAAACACTTTTAACTCCAGATGTAACAGAGTCTAGGTGTACCTAGAAAGCAATATCTCTTCCTTCTTACTTGCCAGAGAAAGGTCTGGGACTCCAAAGGGTTATCAATGCATGAGAGTAAAGAACTCAATCAACCCTCTCCCTGACCTCAAACCATCCCCTGTGTTGGGGATCAACACTGCCAGTCATGGGTGGTAACTGAAAGGAAATCCCTGAAGTTTTTCCTGAAAGAAAGTCCTTTCAGTCAAGAGAGGACAAGTGGTCAGGCAAGGTGGAACCACCTGATATGTCAGCTGCTCAGGAGGCTAAGGTAGGAGGATCACAAGTTCAGGCATGGGCAACTTAACAAGACCCTGTCTCAAAATAAAAAAAATATATAAAAAATGGAGCTGGAGATAAAGCTTAGTGGTAGAGTGCCATTGGGTTCAATCCCCAGTACCAGAGGTGGGGGGAAAAAAAGGCACCGTGGAGTAATTTCTTTTCTTTCTTGTTTTGGTAAAGTCATATGAAGAGTTGATATTTAAAGCAATGGCACTTGGGAAAAGTCAAGATAACCGCAGAGAAGATAGACAAGAAGATAGACCTCTGCCAATACTAAGAATTATTCCTCTCTGAAACCCTCTACCTCCAGACTTCTTCCTGTGTGAGGGAGCCATGCCTGCTGCTCTTACAGAGGAGCTACCTCCCCCTGGGTCCTGGCCCTGTTCCTGCTAGGCACCCCTGAGGGTGGACACAGCTCAACAGCCCCCTGGAGGTATGAATGCCCAGACAGTGCCGAGTGCCTGCCTCATTTTGCTCTCTATGTGAAGAAAGCTACCTTGAGGAAGACAAATCCACATGAGTCCACCTGCTTAGAGTAGGGACACAGCCCCATCTCCCAGGTCAGAACAAGAAGGCTTCTGCCAGCTGCTCTCAGGTAGGCTCTGGAGCAGGGTGAAGTTCAGAGTCAAGGCATTTCTTGGTGGGATAGATGCAGCTCATCTTCTCATCTTCGAGGTATGATGACATGGGAGGGGAGGACTTGGGTTCCAGCCTTTAGAATGGAACCTGGTTCCTGATATGTGGGCAATACAAACCTGGTGAGAACCTAAGCCAAATCAGGACACTTTGGCAGGGAAGAGGACTTGCGAAGAACAATGAGCAGAAGAAGGTAGTCGCTTCATCTTTGGTTTTATCTGATGCACCTTATATGAAATAATTATTAACTGAACATCACTCTGTAATTGCAAAAAAAAAAAAAGACATAGTTTTGCTGACATTCTGAATGCTTCTAAGTAAATACAGTATTTTTATTTTAAAAGAAGAAGAAAGATGAGAAGGTGTGCTTTAATCTGTGCCAGGCATGAGCTGGTCATCAGTTCTGCTGCTGTTCCTGACACCGTGGCCCAGGGCCTCCATCAGCACTCTCCAGAACAGCCAACTTCCTGGGTCTGGGGCTCCCCTGGTCCTCACTCCGAAGCTCTTGATGACACCCTGATAAAGACAACAGGAGTTCAAATCACAGGGAAGTATAAGAATTCACATGACCTGGGTCCACCTCTATGAGAGTAGATTCTTAGGCCTTGGAGGAGAATCCCAATTACCCTAGGTGCCAGCCAGGGTTGGGATTGGGGCCAGACTCTATTTGGCCTTGAATTTCCTTTGCTTCTACCACAGGTAAGAAAAAGGGAAGTCACACACAAAGGCACCCCAGGTTTGGTGAACCCCCTTCAGGCCCTTTGTAACTCAAGTTCATGTTGGCCACTGCAGGCAGGCAGCTGATAGGCATTTGAAACACAGCTGGCCCCAAATGAAGTATGATATAAGTGCAAAGTAGACACTGGGTTTTGAATAGTTTATAAGAAAAAGGGATATAAAACATCTCATTAATAACAGTTATATCAAAGGGGTTGGGGTGCAGCTCAGTGGCAGAGCACTTGCCTAGCATGTGAAAGGCCATGAGTTAGGTTCCAGTGCTACACACACACACACACACACACACACACACACAGAGTCATACTGATTACATGTCCGTTGATGATATTTGGGATATATTAGGTTAAGTAAAACATTGGAATTATACCTGCTTCTTTTTGCTTTCACTAGAAAAAAAATTAAATCTACATGGGAGCTATACAGCCCTGGAAAACACCAAGATTGGCTGGGAGGCTCCTCCTGGACTGAGGGGTAAATGGGGACCTTCCAGGCAGGATGCTGCATCTCTTATGGAACCTGTCTGACAGTATCCTCATCCCAGCCTATGAAAATGAAGAGGCTGAGGCTTCTGCAATGTCCAACAAATGGGCAGCAGAATTCAGTGCAGACCCAGCCTGCCACCAACATAGCCTTCCACAGCACAGTCACCTCCCCTGCTGGGACATTTCATCTGTACTTGACCTGTTCCTGAGAGGCGGTACCTGTACCTCCCTTCCCCCCAAAATTCACCCATTTGGGGTGTAAATTCAATGGTTTTTTAAAGTTGATTTATAGAGCTGTGCAACCATCACCACAATCTAATTTTAGAACACATCCTTCACCACATTTGTATTCCCATTCTGTGTTAGTCAGCTTTCCACTGCTGTGAGAAAAATACCTGATAAAAACAACTGAAAAAAGAGGGGAAAAAAAACACCATTAGAGAGATTTCAGTCCATGGTCACGTGGTTCTATTGTTTCTGAGCCTGTGGTAAGGCAGAGCAATGTGGAGGGGAAAGTAGCTCACCTCATGACAGCCCAGAAGCAAAGAGGGAGAGGAAAAGGTCAAAGATATGCCTTCCAAGGACAGTCCCAGTGACCTACTTCCCCCAACTAGGCCCCCACTACAGGAAAAAGGAAATATCCATCTTGTGTCACTATCTTTAAATGCAAAGACCCTGAGATACTTCTATTAAAAGTATGTATTACCCAGTCTACACCTGCACTGGTATTTCTGGATATGACCCCGAGCATTGTGATCTAAAATCTCTTCAGGTGCTGGGGTGGAGATCCATGATAGAGCTTGTCTAAGAGTTCAAAACCCAGCCCTACAAAAAAAATTCCAGGTGATTTGAATTAAGTATCATTTTGCATAGATCTGACATGAAAACTCACTTTCTACCTACCCCTTATTCTTCCTATTACTTTTAAATTGAGAACTAATATTTTGAGTTAGAAAATATGACATTCTCAAGTTCTACTCCAATCTTTTGTTCCTTTTTATATGAAACATGTCACTTACTGAAGAATTCTTTAGCAATTGTACATTTTAATCTCACAATGTAGCTTGACAGATTGTTTTATTTTATCCAAATGGTAGTGCTTAGCCGAGTGTGGTGGCACACACCTGTAATCCCAGAGTTTGGGAGGCTGAGACAGGAAGATCACGAGTTCAAAGCCAGTCTCAGCAAAATCGAAGTGCTAAGCAACTCACTGAGACCCTGTCTCTAAATAAAATACAAAATAGGAATGGGGATGTGGCTCAGTGGTTGAGTGCCATGTTCAAGCCTCAGTATGCCTAAAAACAAAAAAACAAAACAAAATGATAGTGCTTAGATTATAAATTAGCCTGTTAACATACGGCTTATTTCTTACCTCTGTATACTGACAGCCAGAGTATCTTCCACTTGTCTGTGTGCTCCCATGTAACTGGATGACATACTCAGATCTGGTAGTTTCCCAACCTTGAGCCCTGGAAGGGACCAGCCATGTGAGCTTGTGGCTTATGTCATCTGAGTTCATGAAGACTGAAATCTCAGCATGCATCAGGCACAGGCTAAGTGCTTAACTCGTCCCATCAAATTATTTTCTGATTCATCCGGAAAGGCAAGAAGTGGCAATCAAAGGAAATCTGTTCCCAAAAATGGAAACAGGTTTTTCATTATAAATGCCTTCCTTGCTCTGGGCTCAGTTCCTGAAAACAATCACTGGGATCATGTGTTGGTCCTTGAATTTCCCTTCACGACAAAACAAATCCTGGAATTGACCCCAGAAAAGGTAAATCAGAGAGTTTTCTTTGGCCATTATAGGGTTTGGGATTTGTTCCCTTGTGAAATTACTTATTATAAATTACTAATATTCCTAATGTAAAATCTAGGGGGGGGTTGTGCCTGTAATCTCAGCGGCTTGGGAGGCCAAGGCAGAAGAATTATGGGTTCAAAGCCAGCCTCAGCAACTTAGTGAGGCCCTAAACAACTCAGTGAGACCCTGTCTCTAAATAAAATATTAAAAAGGGCTGGGGATGTTGCTCAGTAGTTAAGTGCCCCTGGGTTCAATCCCCAGTACAAAAAAAAAAAAAAAAAAAACCTAAGCAGGGAGAGGGTGTATAACTCAGTGGCAAAGCCCAGGGTTTCAACCAGCAATACAAAAGAGAAAAATCTGAAAAGTAAAACCTAAGAGGCAGCTGGTGGCCCAGTAAAAGATGTCACGAATGAACTTTTCCTCATTCCAGAGTGCACTTCCTTGGTCAAGGTGTCTGTGGGTCTGTCTGTGGGTGTGGGTATATGATACACACATATACTATTTTTGTACTGAATCAAATAGAAAAGCTGGCTTTTAGAGCCGGGATAATCCTTTCTGATGCCTCTGACGCTGATCCAAGGATCCCCATAGGATGCCAGTGGTGGAAATCAACACTTTTCTTTTTTTCATGGGAGAAGTCATGGTTCTGAGCATTTCTGACCTCCTTCCTTAAAGCCAACCCTGGCATATCCACAGGGACAAGACACCAGATTAAAAGGAACATGAGGTAGCTCCTGCACAAAAGGCAAGAAACAAGAGTTTTATTTGGTAGGTATTCTAAATAGTTGGTCACATTGCCTGCAAGTCATGTTGGTACTACCCACCCCTTCCGATTCTTTCCTCTCATTTATGGGTACCTATCATCTACCTACCAATCTTCTATTGGTCAATCAACGATCAAAATCCCTAAATATTTGTTTTGTTTTTGTCAAGGGGGTTACTAGGAACTGAATCTAGGGGTGCTTTTCCGTTGAGCTATATCCCCAGTCCTTTTTTTTTTTTTTTTTTTTTTTGAGATAGGGTCTGACTAAGCTACTGAGTCTAGCCTCAAACTTGTGTTTCCCCCGCCTTCAGCTTCCCAGGTTACTGGGAGTGTGCACCACCACACCCAGCTTCAAGGTCCCTCAAGTTTTAAATGTAGATATTATAGGTTTTAGAACATAACCTTTAACAAAGAAAGGAAACTCCCTTGTAGTTGACTAAGAAGTATTGTCTGTTTCTCGTGTGTCCATGGCTACATCAAGATTTGGATTTTATTGGGTTTTTTTTTTTTTTTTGGTTGTTGTTTTTGTTTTCCTGGTCCCTTAAAAGCAACATACTCTGTTTATTTTTATAGTGGTTATCCTTTAAAACTCATATTTATTTACTTATATTTCTTTCTTAAACTGAATAGTATCTCTTTCCCACCACAAAAATAACCTTAGCAAACTCTCAAACTCCTGCCATATCTCCCACTCCATACATCCTGTGTCTCACTTAAAAGTTTCATGTACATTTATAAGACGTTTGCCACATGGAGGCTAAGGGAGGAGGATGGCTCATAGTGTCTTGTCTTACCCTGGATGTTATGTAAGGTACATGCGTTCCTATGAGAACTGAAAAAAGGAATATCAGTATTTTGGTTTTCATTTAATAATCCAAGATATTGAACACTGTTTTCATAGCAGTCAATGTGTGTTGCTGGTTCTGTGAATTATCTGTTGGTGCTCTTTGCTATTTCCTTTTTTAAATTCCTCTTAGTATTTGTTATGTAACACTTGTTGATTGTAGAAAATGTCTGTTAGTCAGCATTTTGTCACTGTGACCAAAATACCTGACAAGAACAACTTAGCGGAAGAAACATTTATTTGGAGCTCACAGTTTCAGAGATTTAGTCCATGATTGACTGACTCCATTGCTCTGGTCCCAAGATGAGGTAGAACATTGTGGCAGAAGAGGATGGCTGAGGTAAGCTGCTCTAATCATGGTGACCAGGAAGAACAAGAGCAGGTAAGGGCCACCACTTCTAAAGCCTGCCCCTGGTGACCATGACCCTCTCCAGCCATTTCCCATCTGTCCACAGTTACCACCCAGTCTATTCAAGCTCGGTTGGACTGATTAAGTTATAGCTCTTATAAAATCTAATCTTTTACCTCCGAATAGTCCTGTATTGACATGGGAGCTTTTCTGGAACATGTCATTGTGGGGAGCCACCCCGGAGCCATTTGAGAAGTCTTCACTTGGCCTTGAGCCAAGGAGATTTTGGTTCGGCATTGCAAGCTATTTTGTGGTTCCTCCCACTTAATGGATTGCACAATGCACATGACCTCTATCCTGGCTCACCTAGGAAGACTGATCCATCCATAACTCCCCAGTTGGGCGTGACCCTTGGGAACCGGAAAGCCCACCTCCTACTTTATTTGGTGAAGAACATTCTGTAGAAAGCCTTTGAAGTTCCATATAAATATATATTCAATAAAATATAAATAAAGCAAACCGGGCTCTAGCTTTCTCTTTCCATTGTGGAAGTCGACCTCTGAGGTCGAAGAGCCGTCCAGCCCTCGCTTTCTAAAATTACTTTCTGCTTAGTGTTTTTTTCACCACCTTCTTTTCTTAGCTTTATTTCGCAGCCAAGCCGCTTCATGCAGAGGAAACCCAAATTCCATTGCCTGCGTGGGACATGGGTGAGATGTCATATTTAAGCTATAATAATTAGTAAAAACCACCAGAAGCAGTGGCAACCTGTAATCTCAGCCACTCAGGAGGCTAAGGGAGGAGGATGGCAAGTTTGAGCCCAGCCTCAGCAAGTAAGAGAGACCTTATCTAAAAATAAAAAATAAAAAGAGCACTAATGACATGCCTCAATGCTAAAGGACCCCTGAGTTCAATTCCCAGTACCACCAAAATATAATAACTAGTAAAAAAAAAAAACAGAAAGAAGAAAAAATGGTAGTCACCTAAAATTCCCCAATGCAAAGCTTAGTTATGTGACATGCTTTATTTTGTGGCCTTCCAGAAGGTTCTTCTCAGATGTTTGCCACATGGACCTGGATGTCCACAAGGCAATTCCAACACCTCCCTTTTGGGAGGATTAACAGTTGTCCTAAACAAACCCTGAGTAGATACAGTGTGAACATGAATAAGAGTTTGTTTATCCTCAGAAATTTCAGGTTTATAACTTTCTGCTCAGCATCCTAGGGAGCAGGATGGCCCAGAATTGCTGCTTTGCTCCACCTATCACAACCATGTTCTGGACTGCAAAGAAGAGGAAGGGAAGAAGGGCCCACACACTCCCTATTAAGGAAAATAAACCATAAACAGTCATTTGGGTACATATCAATGGATGGATAGTAGTCACAGGGTTATCTCCAGCTGAAATGGGGGCTAGAAAGGTACTTTGGGGAGGGAACATGGCTGTCACATTGAAAGCAGTGTGGTTGGCAGATATGATGGAGCATACCTATAATCCCAGCTACTCAGTAGCAGAGGCAGAGGAATGGCAATTTCAAGACCAGCCTCAGAAACTTAGTGAGACTCTATCACAAAGGCTGTGGTACACGCCTGTAATCCCAGTGACTAAGGAGGCTGAGACAAGAGGCTCATGAGTCCAAAGATAGCCTCAGCAAAAGCGAGGCACTAAGCAACTCAGTGAAACCCTCTCTCTAAATAAAAAGTGTCCCTGAGTTCCATCCCCCATACCCCCCAAAATAAATAAATAATAAACAGGGTTAGGAATGTAGCTCAGACTTAGGTTCAATCCCCAGAACCAAAAATTAATTAAATAAGATACAATTTTATCTTTTTTAAAAAATTTATTTAATTTTGGTACCAGGGATTGAACCCAGGGATGCTTAACCACTAAGCTACATCCCCAGCTCTTTTAACTTTTTGAGACAGGGTCTTGCTAAGTTGCTTAGGGCCTCACTAAGTTGCTGAGGCTGGCTTTGAACTTGTGCTTTTCCTGTGTCAGACTCCTGAGCCGCTGCAATAATGGGTGTGCACCAATGCACCCAGCTATATGTTTATTTTTATTTTTTAGTTCTTTTCTATTTTCCTTCCTTCCATCTCACTGTCTCCTTCTGTTTGTTTTAGGTTTTGTTCTCTACCTTTGTTCTGCTTTTTTTCTTGGGGGTGGGGGGAGGGGTTACTGAGTTAAAACAAGGGGCACTTTACACTGAGCTACAACCTCAGTCTTTTTTTTTGAGATAGGCGCTAACAACCTCAGTCTTTTTTTTTTTTTTTTTTTTTTGAGATAGGCGCTCACTGAGTTGCTTGGAGCCTTGCTAAGTTGCTGAGGCTGGTCGCAAACTTAGTATCCTGCCTCAGCCCCTGAAGTCACTGGGATTTCAGGTTTGTGACACTGCACCTGGCTCCTTCCTTTCTCACAAATGAAACTGAGATTATGAACCAAACGGCACAGCTGAGATACTTAAGACTGTAAGTCTGGTTTGGGGTGGATCTTTCAGGGTAGGGGCCGGTTAGGACTTCAGAGTCTAGGGTATAAACTTGTTTCCTACTTTTTACTAAACAGTTGATGCATCTTTCCAGAAGTCTCTGGAATGAACACTAATGCTGTCAGGGAAGATAGGAAGACTGAAGACTGTGCTGATGAAGGAAACCCAAAGGCAACGTCCGTCTGCGTGGACCCTGAGCTGTGGACGTTGCCTTGGCGCCCCCTTGTGGTCTGAAGATCACATGTGCTCGTGCCTGGGCTGATTCAAAGCAGAAGTCCGCAAGGTCGCTTGTCCTGGAAGGAGGCGTGGTTTCTGCCTCCCTGAGGTTTTCCTGTTCCCTTCTCAGGCTGATCATCTGTTGGATCATTTACTGGGCACACCTGTATAGCATCAGTTAGCACCCTGAAGATAAAACAGTCAACAATGGAACGCAGAGAAAGATTATCATCAGTATGTAGTTGCTCTTCAGGCCAGAGCAGATGACTCCAGATGAATCCCAAGGAACAAATCTTATCTGCAATTTGAAGAATGAGAAACATCAAGAATAACAGTAGTCACATTCTGCATTCTGATCTCTCTTTTTTGTCTCTTTTTATTTTTTATTTTTCCATCCTGGATTTGTTTATTTATTCTAAGGATTGAACCCAGGGGCACTTTACCATTGAGCTACCCCCCAGCTTTTTTTTTTTTTTTTTGAACAGGATCTCACTGAATTGCTAAAGGCCTCATTAATTTAATGAGGCTGGCCTCTAACTTACAATTCTCTTGCGTCCACCTCCTGAGTCTCTGG